CCGCCCCCGCCCGCCGGGAAGCCGCCCAGCGCTTACCTTCATTGGGTTTCCGCTCCCCATCCCCCAGGGCAGGAGCAGCCTTCGACAACTGCAAAGATAACAGAAAATCAGTCACAACACGGGCTCCGGGGCGCGGGAGGGCTCCCGGGCCCGCCGCCGGCGACCCACCGGGCAGGAGGCGGAGGGAGGGGGCGCCCCCCGAGGTGGAGCCGTGCCCCTCCAGCCGCCCCGGCGGGCACAGAGGGACCTTTTGTTCCCCCCGTCCCGCGGGGAGCCGAGAGGGACATGGGAGACGCGGGCGGGCCGAGGGAAGGGGCAGGCGGGAGGGAGGCGGCCGGGCCTCCAGCGCGGCGGGCCCGAGAGAGGCCCCAAAGGGAGAAACGCGACCCTCGGGAGGAGCTTTCAGTGATTATGGTCAAAAACGAGAGAGCAAATCCGGGCCCGGGGGGAGAAAAATAACAGGGGTGGCGTTCTACCGCTGACACGACCGGTGGGCCTGGGCACTGCTCTTCTCCCCCAGGCCTCCATTTACCCCCGCAAAAGGTGAATTCAGCCCGGGATGGCAGAAGGGGGAGAAGGGCAGCCAGGCGCGAAAGGGCATCGCTCCCCTCTCAACGTCACAGATTTCTGTCGCCGAGTAGTGGTGGCCACCGAGATGTTGGTATCTGGCCGGGCGTCAGGGCAATTAACTGTGACAGCACAGCTTTGCCGACAAATGCCGCCAAACCGTCCGGGTTTCCCTCCTCTCCTCTGGAAGGGAGGGCGACGCGTGCCCTCACCTAACGGTCCCAGTCCCCAGCCCCTGCGTGGCCCAGCAGCAGCGCGGCTTCCCCTGGACAAACACCAAAAAGGCCCCAAGCTCTGTATTCGCTCCTGCTGCCTTTTGGGTCGAGGGGCATTTCCAAACCGCTGACGCAGGCAGGAGTGGTGACAGGTAACCCACCCCCAGACCGGGATGGAGAAGCCTTGCACTGCTTTACTAAGGAAGTCCTTTTAATTCCAGGTGAAACAAAAACTCCACTCTTCCTGCTCTGCGTGAAGGTTTTAGCTCTGATGTAACTTTCCAGCCAAGTCAGGTTTCCCCCTGCTGTTCTGTTCTGAACCAAAACCAAAAAATGCCTGGCTTGCTTCACTTCTCTGAGGTATGTTGCCACCTGTGTGATGCCATCCACCCCAGAACCTGCTGCCTTTCAGCAGCAGCCCAAAAAGAGCATGGCGATACATACAAAATACTGCTTCATCGGTGATATGCTGCATTTAGGCTCAGAAAAAGGCTCTCTGATCTTGTAGCCAGAGACAGAACGGAACTGAGCCGGCAAAGTCCACCCCAAGCTTGCAATGGGAATCTGCCACCTATGGTCTTCTAGGCAGCCCCGTGCACCACCATCCAAGCAGCCCGAAATGTCAGCTTTTAAAAGGAGGGGGCAAGAGAGCCTGCAAAGCCCTAGAAGCCCCTCTTCCAGCCATTCCTTTGTGTCTGTTCACTGTTCCCTTTGTCTAAGGTCCCCCGACCGAACTCCTCGCTTCTCATTTCAACCGAAGTCTTTCTGTACCTGGGCATAACTCACCAGCCCAGACCTGAGCCACCCCATGTGTGGACCTGTTTCTTCTCTGGGGAGGGCTGTGTGCCCACCCTCAGCACTGTGACAACAGTTTAAAAAGCAGGTTCCTAGAAACAGTTTCATTCCTGAAGTGTGAAGGTCACTGCAACAGCACAAACAAAATGGAGGCAGCGGAGGTTGCAACAGCCTTCCAAAGCCACTCAGCGCCTGACAATCTATGGGTCAAAAGAAAACCGCATCAAGGGCAGAAAAGCCTCAATCTGTGTTGTAGCACAGGAAGAGGATCACGAGCTAAGTTAGTTTATCCAACGCCCCCAAGACCTTTCGCAGAGGGATTTTTGGTTCACACACCGAATGACCATGATGGACTGAGCAAAATTAGCTCAGAGACACCTTGAGGGTCATTCTACCCATTCTCTATGCGAGGCTGACCAGCTGGCTGCCAAGCCCACCACCTCCTCACATGCAAGCACACATGGTGCAGAGGTGATGGGAAGCAGAAGCAAGCCACACACTTTCACTGCTCACCTGTGCCTGGCTAGCACCTTGCTCTGCCCCTGATGTACCAGAGCATGAGCCAGAACACTCTCCCAGCGCTCACCTAGACCTGGGTTGCGATCCCACCCCAAGGACGGGAAATGAGATCGGTACGAAGTCTGCAGATAGCTTCTGAGCACACCCAGGGGAGCTCTCAGCAAAAAGCCAAAAGGTTTCCTAGTACTATCAGTAACATGCTCTCTGCTCACTATCCCAAGAAACTTTTCTGCCCTTTCAGCAGTGTCTTTCACCTGTGGCTAGTGCCCTCAAGGCCCGTCCACTAGAACAGCAGGTGAGGCAGGGGCTTGTGCCTCACTTTAAACCAGTCTGCTACATATCAGACAGGGCAATGGGGAACCAAAAGCGTTCCAAGGGATAAGCAGGCCTGGTGTGCCCTTCAGTGGGAGCCTGAAGGTCACGCTCTCCTCTGCTGGTTTTTGGCATTTCCCAACAGCTCTGTAACACAATTTCCTTCCAAAAGATTTTCAACATTTCACAGAGGTGTGGAAGCAAGCCCTGCGCTCGAGAGCAGGATAAATGACCCCGGGAATGGGGCTGACCAGGGGGAAGCTCCTTTCTGTGCCCTTTGCAGGTCACAGCGAATGCACGTCCTGCAGTGGAGTAAAACCCTCCCTAACTAATAAACCCACTTCACACTATCCATGTGTCTGCACCTTCCCTGTCCCTCTTCTCCCCCAGTCCCTGCCCGAAGCAAGTTACTCGCTGAAGGGAGAGAAAAGGTTAATCAAGTCACTCCTCTCTAACCATCACCCCCCTCACCACCACCACCAGCACTCTTTCTCTCCCTTCCCCTCCCCCTAATCTGTGCAGCCTCATTAAAAGAGCTTTGTAACTGTTTAGGACTGGAACAAACAATCCATCCACTTTGTGAGGGACTCTGGGACAGGAGTTAAGGCACTTTTCGTCTTAGGCACTAGAAATTCTTCTCAGCGGTTTCTACTTAAGGGGGAGCAGGGGGACGGGACTCACTGCACTCCTTCTCCATTGTACATGCAGACAGAGGTCAGTAATCCCAGAAGCTGCCAGCACAGCCGAGGCATTTTCCTGACACGGAGCAGGATGGTCAGGAGTGGATTTGGGGTTGCTCAGGAAATCAGTGAGCCCCTCTGAGATGTCAGCATGGGCTTCCCTCTCCCCTGCTCCCAAAGGAGCGCTCCTCCTCCCAGCCTGTCCTCAGAGCACAGGCCCAGAGCAGCTCTGGGGAAGGTGACCCTCTGCATCCTGGCTGCCTACGGGCTGGGGAAGCAGGTTCTGGTGGCTCCCCATCGTGGCCTGGCGCAGAGGCACACCAAAGGCAGGGAGCCTGGTGGGTGTGCAATCATTAGCAGTCTAGTCACAGGCTCGCTCTCCCTCCCTCGATGTCTGATCGCTGCCTGTTCCCTATGGCAATACAGCTGGTGTATCCAGGTCCCTCCACAGTCCAGGGAAGGAAGGGAAGAGTTCCCAGACCATCATTAGGGGTGACCTGCCACCAGGCTGCCACCAGGACCCGCAGACAAAGGAAGACAGGGAATGACTGACCCTCCCCCGTTCTTTAGGAAAAGGAGGGACTGGAAGGGGACACCACCAAACCTCTCTGACCCCGTGGGGCATGAGGACTGTGCACCGCAGCTCAGCACAGGCAAACAGCTAGGAGGGTGGCACCGCAAAACCACCTTTTCCTCCCTCTCCTGCATGGAAAGGCTATCGCCACCAGTGGAGGCAGACACCTGTGGCATCAGTGCCACCCAGTCTTGCTGTGACATGATTTCCCACCATCCCAGCCTCGCTGCAGGAGTGACCGTAACAACTCCCTCAGTAAGGAGTCATCCCCCTGCCACCTTCACCAGAGGAGCACCGTGATTCCTGCATCCCTCCTCCTTCGCCTTCAGGAAAGCTGCCTGACACGCGCTGGACCCTACTTTCCCAACTCAGCCTCTGCCAGGGCTTTTATTTAATGCTCTCCAATGCGCCTGGCTAGCTAGATAGGTTTTATTCAGTGCGACAGCCAGATTAACAGTACAGATAAATATTATCATCAAAGCACAAAACCCTAGTCCTGGCGTGAAGAGTCATGCCTTCTGCCATGCCCAGAGTCATCGTCAAGCTGCCTACGTGAGATCTGCTGGTATTTCTAACGTTCCCATCACCGTGGTGCCTGGGCGATCAACAGACAAATAAGGACAGAATCGAAGGGCAGACCTCACCCCTGGTCTGCCTGAGCACTTATATGGCCCGCATCACCCAGCTATCTGAACATCTCACCATCTCTCATGTATCTACCCCCCGCAACACTTCCCCCCAACCCCACCAACACCCCATAATTCCCCCCTACTTTTTTTCCCCACCATTACCCTCTTTCTTTTCTCACTGGCACCATCATCCTGCCTAGGAGAAAAAGACAGCACAACGCTTTTAAGCAACTCTTGAGGACAGACAGACCTGGACTCTACCTGATCCGCCGTTTCCTCCTCTGGGGAAGAGGAAGGGGAGGGGAGAAGGAGCAAGGGGAGGGTTAAAGGGTATTATCACTAGACACCGATACAGAATTGTCTATCCTATAGCCAGGGAACAGATGCTACTGTACAAGTTTACTGAAGAGCTGGGAGGCAAAGAAACCCCCGTTTTAGGTCACGGTGGAAAAACTCTTGGGAGAGTGGAAAGAATTGTCCCACAAGCCAAATCTGGCAGGCAGGCAGCACGGAGCTGCTCTGTGCCACAATCGAGTGAGAGCTGCGCCTCACTTCCCATCGAGCACAGCCTAATGTGTGGCTGTCACTGGAGAAAGTAGAGATATAACAGGCTAGAAACAAAGCGTGCAGTGCCTGCATGACTTCAGTTACAGCTGAAATGGCTCCTAACTGGGGAGTTACCTTCCAGCATTGGTGCTGAACAAACAATGTGAATAACTGATTAGTTTGCAAGTGACGTTTATTTTCATGATTGTGGGAGATTATGTGGCCCACGTTCTCTCAGAGTGCCAAGGAGAAATGGCAGGAGAGGACTAACCTGTTATAGCCTTTAAAACATAATCCATGCCCATCTAGCAAACAGCCACTTTCACGTGGGCACTCTGTCTAAACCCCTTAATATCTCTTGGCAACACAGCCCTCTCGGCTCTTTAGAAAACAGATTTATAGGACAGGTTTGCACAGAAAGCTGCCTTTCTTTTTTCTTAAAAAAAAAAAAGAGAGAAAAGGAGGAAGAGTTGATTTCTAATCCCTCAGGAATGACAATGAGGCAAAAGTAAAAGTGACTGAGGAGGAAGAGAAGAGAAAAATGCGCAGTTTTGTAATCTCGGTGCAGTAGATATGTATTTTGATTTTTTTTTTTCAATCTGGAAGAAATTCAGGATCCATTTTGTCCTCTTTGATCTCTTATTTGTTTTTCCAGCTAGGTATTTTGAACTCCACTCGGCGGGACGAACCCGAGCTGGGACCCAAGGCAAATACCGCTGAAACACCCTTTTGCAATGTCAGGAGACCCGAGGACGGGAGGCGAG